TAATGCAGAGCACTCCTAGAGCAGGATACAAGCGGAAAGACAGAGTCTGGTATCACTTATGTTACATGGCATAGAAGTTGCGTGGAACATTGCCCAAATTTGCCGTCCATGAGACTAATATTCTTATTCTGCGCGGAGAAGCCATGACTCTACCTGTTTCGTTTCTGACTTTCAAGAAAGAGGAGCCGGAGCCTGTGGATGTCTGTCAGAGAGGACACCAATCATCGGCCGGTCAGATATCCAAGCGTTCGCTTACAGGGACAAGTGCGGTTTTGGGCGCTAACATGGAATGAATCCGTGTTCGTGATTCATCCTGGCATGATTTCTTTCCCCGAGTCAGTAAGCTATCGCCAAGCCAGTCTAGAAGTGGGAAGGCGCTGGGCAGGAAGCTTGAAGCCTTAATCTATTGACTTATTCTCGGATGTATCGGGATCTCTGGGGTGTTTTTCTCATTCGCATGACACCCAACAACAGGGAGTAGCTCTGAGATAATGCCTTTGTATCTCCAGAATCTGCCTCTCCATAGAGGATTATAAGTCAATCTTGTTTCCCCATGAGTATGGATAAAGTTCTCCGAGTAATGGCTGTGCTGTAGCGGTTTCGGAAGCTGCCCGCATTTTCTTCTTTGGCTGGAGGCATCTGGAGACCCCAACATATCAATATTAATATGATCTTATCAAGCCAAGTTTTGCTCCGACTGTACCAAACTAGTATTAGCGAGTCAGCTCATGATCTTATCCACGGTATTAAATAATTTCCCGAACGTCTGCCGATTGATCAGTTGGCAAAGGCAGTCGTAAGCTCCAAGCCACCGCCACCAAAAACGCTTGGTTCTAGCTACCACTGTCTAGATAGTGCGTAATATCTATTTTTCTTCTCAATCTCACTCTTCTGTTCGAGTTATACTCTGTGCTCTGGCCTCCCTTACGCAAGCTCAGTGGTAATTCCAGTTCTCACACGCCAATATCCAGTAAAATGACTGCGAGGTCAGAACGGTATAGGAACTCCTCATCCTCCAGCATCTCGCATAAGGCCTGCTATGCTCTCCTCAACTCCCATCAATGAAGACACAGACTAGCGAGCGCTATCTGAAGCCACTCAAGCCGCAGTGGGAGGCCTGACGCCTGTTTCAGACAAGTCAGACACGCTAATCTAGTGCTGACTTTCTCCGAAATGAGGTAAAGGGTACCAGCTCGATGGCTTACGAAGATGTTATTGTGATCTTGGATAGCCAGATGATGCCATTCCAAATTCAGTTCACTAGCCCGTTCTCCCTGCCAGGATTCAATCGCAAGACCTTGGTTCGGAAATAAAAGACACATGGTATTCGCTGCTCGCCCGACTCGGCATAGGTCGTGCTCATCATAGAAACCAGTCATGAACGTCGAGCAAGCGCATCATCTCGAACTGTCGAACTCGAGGAAATTACTGGACTTCCTGGGCCGATGATACTCCGACCCCGGGGTAAGAATGCAACCCCAAAGCCGAATGCTACCGTCTAGACTCTAGCGTTTCCTAGTACGGACGGACAACCACTCATTTGTTCTGCTTGCTCCAGGCCAGGCCACGCGACTCGGCATGGATCCCCGATGGCTGCCCGCGTGCAGAGATATCACCCCAGACGGGGTCGATAGAAGTATCTGACGTATTAATAGCCGGCAGCCCTCGTTTTCATGACTGTCACTCCCTGCGTCGAGTTTTATTTCCGCGATTGATTTCCCGTTCTGTTTAGAGATTGCATCAAGATGGCCGTCAGTCAATCAGTCGTTGGCCGCGCCAACGCGGAGAAGCCTCATGGTCTAGTGGGTATGCTCAAGAACCCGTACGTGTTCATGACCTGTGCCTTTGCCTCTCTGGGTTGTATCATGTACGGGTACGACCAGGGAGTCATGAGTCCCGTGCTGGTGATGGAGAACTTTCAGAATCATTTCCCCTACCTAATGGGCTCAACCATCCAGGGCTGGCTGGTTTCTGCTCTCGAATTGGGTGCCTGGGCGGGTGCTCTGTTCAACGGATACCTGGCAGACCGTATCTCCCGCAAGTACTCGATGATGGTCGCCGTGGTTATATTTACGCTGGGATCCGGATTGCAGGCTGGTGCGCAGACTCCCGCGTACTTTTTTGCTGGTCGTATCATCGGTGGTGTGGGGATCGGCATGTTCAGTCACGTACGTCTTATTTCTTCCGGGGCATCCGTTATTCTTCGCTCACTTTGCCTGCATCTTTAGGTTATTCCCCTCTATCAAGCAGAGATTGCTCCTCCCGAACTGAGAGGATCACTCGTATCATTGCAGCAACTCTCCATCACTATCGGAACGTCCATTGCTTTCTGGCTGGACTATGGTACATCTACCCTTCTGCTGCCGCCTTGCCATCGCGTCTAACAATCTCCTGATAGGCATGCAATACGTCGGCGGCACCACCTGCAACCCTGAAGGCATTGACAATCCCTACTTGCCGGATGGCACCTACAACGCCGCTCAGAACCACGGACATACCTGTCTGGGACAAAGGACCATCTCTTGGCGTCTGCCGCTGGCTTTGCAGATCCTCTTTGCATGGATTCTCTTCTTTGGAATGTTCTTCTTCCCCTTCTCCCCTCGGTGGCTGATGTCCAAGCACCGCGAAGAGGAAGCTGTCGTTGCCCTCTCCAAATTGCGGCGATTGGGTCCCGAAGATCCTCTGCTCAAGGCGGAAATTCTCGAAATCAAGGCTACTGTTCTCTTCGACGAGGAGTCCGACCAGGAGGCCATCCGGGTTGGAGGGAGATTGGCCCCATGGAAGGCCCTTTTCGCTCCCAACATGTTCAAACGTCTTGTCCTCGGCTGCGGTAAGCGTATAGTTTCTGTCTTTGTCGTTGCCCTTCCTGACAATCTGGTCTGTAGGAACAATGATCTGTCAGCAATTCACGGGTATCAATGCAGTTCTATACTATGCCCCTCAGATCTTCGCTTCCTTTGGCTTCTCCTCGACCAAGCAGACTCTGCTGGCCACCGGAGTGACCGGTATTCTGCAAATCACCTTCACCTTACCGGCCGTCCTCTTCCTGGACAAGTTTGGCCGCAAGACCTTCCTCATAGTCGGTGCAATCGGCATGTTCTGTTGCCACGTGGTTGTCGCTACTGTCGAAGGACTGTACGAGGACGACTGGAATAAAAACATGGGTCTGGACAAGGCTCAAGGATGGGTTGCCATTACCTTTATCTGGCTGTTCGCGGTGAACTTTGCTTACTCCTGGGGTGCGTCTTCTCCTTCCGTATGAGCGTTATGATGGCTGCAAACACTGACCCTACTAGGCCCCGTCGCGTGGGTTCTCGCGCAGGAGATTTTCCCCAACAGTATGCGTTCTCGGGGTGTGTCCATCGTAGCCTCGACCAACTGGATGTTCAACTTCATCATCGGTCTGACCACCAAGGACATGCTCAACTCGATGAAGTACGGCACATACATTTTCTTTGCCATCTTCAGTGCCTTGGGTGGTCTGTTCATCTGGAGATTTGCTCCCGAGACCAAGGACAAGACGCTTGAAGAGCTTGATGTCTACTTTGGAGGTTCGGACGACAGCATCGCCGAGTCGGATCGGCTTCGGATGCAGCGCATCAATGAGCGCCTGGGGCTGGCGGGAGTGCAAAGGGTCGAGGATTTGGCTGACGAGAAGATGCCTGTTCACGACGAGGTCAAGGAGATGTAGCGTGAGGTTGAATCCGTGTGGTGGGTAGAGTTGGTGAAGATGAGTTTCCAGCAGATGGTGGGAGTTCAGACCTATTAGTCTATTGTTTGGGGACAGTTGCCTTTATTGGATTGAATTTGCGATCCTACACTCGAGACTCCTTCATATCGTCCTCTAATGAGAGCTGCCATTCTTCAGGTTCCTGTAGGCTAAATCTGCTGTATCCTTGATCTCTGACCATAAAATCATAATCGGAGTATGAGGCAGCTGTTCTAGCAGGTTGTTTAGCAACTACATACCCGGTCGTCGAACGTACGCTGTCTTTAAAAGCCCTTGAAATTCAAGTCATGCCTCAACACAGGGTGATATACTCATGCTGCATGCTATCCCTCAATTTGTGGGGTGTGCTATTAGATTCTACAATCGATATCCCCTGCTTAGTCTACACCTTCCGGCCAGCCCCTTCCCTTGGATTAAGCCACTGAAAACTGGCCCGAGGCTAAGTAAGAGTATGCTAGTTACCCCGACTGATCTTGCTCTTTGAACATCCTGCTGACTGAATCCTCTCTTGGCTGTCCTCTCTGTCGAGCCTTGACTGCCTGAGGGGCTGTCCAAAGCCGAGTTTCTGCATCCCTAGTCCCCACAAACGCCACACTAGAAAAGAAGCTTAGATGCGAATACCATGACCGCGTACTCGCTTGGTAGATGGATCAGCAATGTTTATGGAGTGCTCGTGACACTATACAGATATGGATATACCAACATATTGACCAAAATGGGCCATACGCCCTTCATTTCGCACCGCACCACGCTGTCCATCAATACCAGCAATGGTCGTACAGCTATCAGACATGCACCCAGGAAGATTATTGAGCCACAAGAGATGAGGTGCTCGGCGTTTAATCCTGCATGTGGTGATAATCTCCGGGTTGATCTCGGGGCTGTGGGACTGTGGGAGGACTGTGGGAGGACTGTGGGGATGTCTATTTTTTCATGTGCTGAATGAATAAAGCCGAAGGGATCAGGCAAATTCTCCGAAGGTCTTTCCTGAGCAAGAGACGCTATTCGTTTAGAGGAGCTGAAGATCATCATGCTACAGCTGGCCAGCTGCCCAGTGTCCAAGCAAGTTGTGAGCTACCCCACAAATCAATATCGATGAGGATTCCAGGGGAACAGTTGATTCCCTTCAACCCCGGACTTTGAGGAAGCGGGGGAAGGGACCTGAGCATACGGGGCACTGTTGCTATAAAATGAGATGCGTTTCCTCGTTATTCTATCTGTCTCATCCTGCATCGTGCTTCTATTCTGCATCCAATCACTAAACCTCTCAATGCGTCCCTCTATCTGGGCCCCCTTTACCTTGGGCCTTGCCACTGTGACCCATGCAGCGACCCCCTCAACGCTCGAGGAACTCTGCACTGTTTCTTATGCTCAAAAGGCATTGCCCCCCTCCGAGTTCATTCAGGGCATCACAATTGATTCGGACTCTGTCACGGCCAGCGTGGTGACCGAGAGCACCGTCAGCAGCGTCGACTACCCTACCGCGACCATCAATTACTGCAATGTCACCCTGGCCTACTCGCACGATGGCATCGACGGCGACCGAGTACTCCTCCAAATCTGGCTCCCAGCTCCTACCAACTTTCAGAACCGGTGGTTGTCTACCGGAGGCGGTGGCTATGCCATCAACTCCGGAACTCGCATGCTGCCCGAGGGTATCATCTACGGCGCGGCCTCTGGACTAACGGACGGCGGCTTTGGGGGCTTCTCGGTCAACACGGATAGCGCCATGCTGCTGGCCAACGGCACACTGAACTACGAGGCGCTATACATGTTCGGTTACAAGGCTCACCGGGAACTCAGCTTGATTGGAAAGGCCTTCACGCGCAACGTCTACGGCATGGCCGACAGTGAGAAGCTCTACGCCTACTACCATGGATGCTCCGAGGGTGGCCGTGAGGGCTGGAGCCAAATGCAGCGCTACGGGGACGAATGGGACGGGGCCATCATTGGCGCTCCAGCGTTTCGCTGGTCGTTCCAACAGACTCAGCATCTCTTTTCCAACATCGTGGAAAAGACCCTCGACTACTACCCCCCGCCCTGCGAGCTGGAGAAGATTGTGAATGAGACGATCATCGCATGCGATCCCTTGGACGGCAAGACTGATGGCGTGGTGGCCAGAACCGATCTCTGCCTGCTGCACTTTGACCCGAAAGCTGTCATAGGCAAGAAGTACTCCTGCGCTGCCTCTGCCTCCACTCAGTATACTGCCGCCACACCGGCCCAGAGTGGCACCGTTTCGGCCAAGGGAGTGGAGGTCGCCAAGACCATCATCAACGGATTGCACGACTCTCAGGGTCGTCGTGTGTACTTCTCTTACCAGCCCAGCGCCGCCTTTGACGATGCTCAGACGCAGTACAACGCCGCTACAGGCAAGTGGGAGCTGTCTGTCAACCAACTCGGGGGCGAATATATTGCACTGCTGGTGAACAAGAACGGCACCACCCTGGAGAGCCTGGATGGGGTCACCTACGATACCCTGAAAGACTGGATGATCTCGGGCATGCAGGAGTTTTACAGCACCCTGCAGACCACCTGGCCTGATCTGACACCCTTCCACCAAGCTGGCGGCAAAGTGATCCACTACCATGGCGACGCCGACTTCAGCATCCCCACTGCCTCATCGGTCCGCTACTGGGAGTCGGTCCGGAGCACCATGTACGGGAATCTGTCGTACAAAGCTGGCGCCAATGCCCTGAACGAATGGTACCGTTTGTATACCGTGCCGGGTGCCGGCCACTGCTCTACCAATGATGCCATGCCCAATGGTCCGTGGCCCCAGACCAACCTCGCTGCCATGATTGAATGGGTCGAAAAGGGGGTGACACCGGTGACTTTGAATGCGACGGTGCTTCAGGGCGAGTACGAAGGCGAGAACCAGCAGCTGTGCGCGTGGCCCTTGCGCCCTCTCTGGAAGAACAAGGGAAAGACCATGGACTGTGTCTATGACCAGGCTTCCATAGACAGCTGGCACTATGACTTGGATGCAGTTCCCATGTCTGTATATTAGTGTCTATATACATAGAGTACGAGCGGTCGCTTTCGACGGCATCATCAAAATCGCCCTTCGTCTTCTAGAGTCTACTGCCGAGAAAATTCCGAGAAGTAATTGTCTAAGCCTGCCACCTCGTCTAGACTTCCTATCCACGCCATATGTTGATCTGGTCGACAAAGCACCAAACAACCTACATTCCTGTCGATGCCATAGCCCGCGTACGCTTTGCCCGAGTTTGGGCCATATGCATCATCATCGGCAAACGTCTTCCAATAGTCCCACCCCAATTCGTCATCAAACGGATGAAAGATCTGCGGGAGATCCAGAAGGTTGATTTTCGTCCTCGGACTCGCATGCAGCAGCAGAGTTTCGAGCCGAGGACCACGCGCTCGTGATTTCTGAGTCTGGTGCCAATGTGCCAAGTGAGAGCGTTGACTGAAGCTTTCAGCGAACGAGGTGAGTCGTTCCCACACGCCTGGCCGTCGCAAGTCGCCAGAGAAAACAAGCAGCCGCCAGCAGCCGTTGCTGGGAAGGACGTCCAACAGGGGAATGGTTGATCCGTCCGCTTGATTGACCACTGGAAATGATGGTATACGCATGCCGACTGCGATATTCTTTGCCAGTGCTCTGTCTCCGCTCTTTTCGGTGCTGGCAACGAGCATGTTTGGGGCATATGTGACTTTCACCCCAGACATAAAACCGGCATAGTCGTCTCGGACCTGATCGACTTCTTCCGCGTCCTTGGCTTCTTGTTCATATGCATGCACCAGGACGGAGTCCATCTTCATGAGTTCTTCAGCGACTGGCCGTCGTTCGGACTCGTATGTGTCGAGAATAATGGGATCTGCTGCTCCGGTAATGACGGATCCGAGCTTCCAGACGAGATTGTAGGTATCTTGCATCGACACATTCATGCCTTGACCCGCTTTCGGAGAGTGGGTGTGAGCGGCATCGCCAGCCAGGAAAATTCTACAGTTATGAGCCGGTTGACTGAAAGTGTGCCAGGGTTCCTTACCGGTCGTTGATTCTGTATTCCTTGACCATTCGTTGTCCAAGCTTCAACCGTCAGTGTCTGTGGCCGTGAAGGGTAATGCGTGACCATACTGGGTATATGGACCACCAATCGCAATGCTTGTAAGACAGCCTGTACGGTCGGATGCACCTTTCTGCAGCTTCAATGAGTGCTCTGGGCGTGTCCTCTGAGTAATCCTGCACCCTTTGCTCTAGTTGTTTGTCGCTTTTGATCTGGATGTACAGTCGGACGAGTCGATTTTCGCGTGGCGCTGTCATGATGCTGCCATGACCAGGGCACTGGATCGCGCAGGATTGGCGAATGTCGGCTAAACCTGTCAATCGACAAACCTACTTGTAGATGGAGAGACGCTTACGAAAATCGGTGATGGGAACGATGTCTATGACTCCCCAGGTGGAATGCTCCGAATGACCTTCCATAGGGACCTTAAGCAGACTTCTAGTCCAACTATGGGCGCCATCACACGCAATCATATAGCGAGCGTGTATTGTCTCTGCCTGTTCCACTGTGTCATTCTCGCTGGTGGTTTTTGTGACTCCCACAGCAAGTGGAAAGTCGTCATTGCCAAGGATATTTTCAGGACCGATGCTCAATGTTTCTGCCCGAGTGTTCCACTCCACGGCTATCCGACCCTCCTGTGAGAGATAATCAAGCAGTATCTGTTCGATTCCCCCCTGGTTGAACAGCATCTGGCCAAACTGGGAAAGATTGCCGGGTTGCGAACGCAGCCTTTTTCGTCGCTCAACTTGCCCGGTGTCCTTATTCGGGCCCTGCAAAGCGTCAAACTGCGTCCGAAAAGATTCTCCTCGGGGGATCCCATACCCAATAGCACATTTCCACGTCACGAACACCCTGTCGCAAGACGGGATCAAGGAGGCCGAAGCTATTAAAGATCTCTAAAGTGCGGCTATGGATCCCATCCGCATGGCCGGTGGTCGTTCGGCCGCTCTTCTGATCGATGATGCGTGTGGACATCTTGTAATGGGAGGCCCAGCAGGCGGCCATCAGACCCGCCGGCCCTGCGCCGATAATTAAGAGATCTGTGGTGTGCGAGGGCATTGCGATGAGGGAAAGAATAAGCTATACACTGGATTTAGGTTGCGGAATTGTGCAGAATCATATCTTGAATTATTTTTAAGGATGAGTCTATTCTACTAGACTCATTGGGTTTGCACATGTCGACGTCATGATGAAACATCGATCCGCAGATGGAATAAGAAATGGAATAACGAGACGAGTTTATTCCTCATCCACTTCCAAGAACAGCAGATCTGGATGGGATAAATCAGGAACTCGGCTTGAAAAATCAAGGAATCTACGCATCACTTACTGTAATCCGTGTCTGATGGCCAACAATCCGCAGTCCCGCCTTCCGACACAACATATCTCGATCCTCAGCATCATACTTGTGGCTCTTCACTGCCAGCAGTTTCTTTCCCGGCGGGATCCTGTTCCCTGCGAGGTGAACATCGCTGCGAGGGACGTAATATTGGTTATGACTGCCATTCTCTGCATCCCAGACGCCCTTGACATCCCACTGGTCGAGATCGAAGACGTCGCGACCCACGATCTCGTTGGCTCGCACTAATCCATTCTTGATAAATCTGTGATTGATACCATCTGGATCATTGTACGCGGATAGCACTCGTTCCTCCTGCTTTCAGCCGTCGAGTCCGACCAGAGAAGATGGTTTGTTGTCCGCTGACCCCAAACAAAAGCTGGACAGAAAGGCAGGTGTCTCTGCTCTCTGAAAGCTTCCGAGGGTAGAGCCAAGAGACAGTAGAGTCTTTGGACGGGACTTGATCTCGGGTCGTTTCAGCCATTCGCGCCCATCGTCGTAGGTTCCAAAGAGACCAAAACACCGCACATGTCGGAATCGTCCCGGGGGCACCAGACTGAGTGTCCGTTGGAGTTCGGGATAGGAGAGGTCCAGGGCGAAGTAATCCACCTCGCGACCCAGTTCATCAAGGGCCTCGAGTAAGATTCTGATCTTGCGGAGGTTACTGGAGATGGTGTCAGGACGCATCGTCATAGGATATCCGAACAAGGATCATGCTGACCCACTGCCCAGTTCGACCAGCATACTCCCGGACGGGATATGCTCTGCAATATGATACTTGTGTCTCTCCAGCAGCCTAATTTCCTCGCTGGTCAAGTAGTATGATGGAGCATAGGTGACCTCTTCAAAATACCGTAGGCCCTTCTCGTCCCAGAGCAGCAGATCGGGCATTGCGGCCTCCCCATCCTCATGGCAAGCAGCACGGATGCTTTTTTCCAGGGACTCTTTAAGCTGGAACTCTTCCTTGTCGGACCGGATATCGAGGATGTTGTTTGCAACAGATGAGTTCGTGGTGGGTTGGACCCAATTGTGTTTGACATGCAGTCGAGGAAAGACGACGTTTTCGAACATGGCTCATGCAATATTTACAAACTGAATCTTTTTATGCACAGGGTGTAATTGGTGTAATCGGTAAACTCTCCATGGTCGAGAAGGCGAAGGGATTCCCTTATTTATTACTCAAGATGCCGATGGACAATGTCTCGATTGGCCTATTTTGACGGTTGCATTGCATGCATATCCTACATGACGCAATTGTGGTAGTCTATCTGAAAGCGTCGGTAGGGACGGGAGTATCATAGTATGTCATGGTGACTGGCTCGACCACTGTATCCCCTTTTATAGGCACTGGAAATATTTCTCTGGCATAATATGTGAATCTCCTGTCAATTGACTCCAGGCAAGGTACAACGTCCATAAAATTGCCGGACTTAGACAACGTACAGCATCACTGTGACATAAGCACTTTCATTAACTAGTTGATTAACAAACTAGCGCCTATTGGAACTTGGTGAATAGAGCTAGTCCATATGCCCTTTAACATAGTCATTCCCAATTGAGACAGTCTCTGCAAGAAGCTGAATCGGTCAAGTTCATCGCAAGAAATCCCCAACCTAATTTCTTACAATCGGCTATTGGAGGATTCTGCAGAAAAATGATAGAACATGCCCGGGCCGGTCATTACACATGAGACTTGATTATATGAGTCTAATGAAGGCTTTTTCAGTAGTGTCCAGGCCTTGTTGCTCCCAGTGTACTTTTTCTGCCCGGAAGGAGAGTTTTCTACCATTAGACATATGAGAAAGATGATAAATGCAGAGACTTCCTCACAGATATCTCACAATTTCTGCACTCGTGACGCCTGTCTACGCCGCTATGGCTATTCAAGTGCGGAGGATTTGTATACCTGAAACACAGGCACGCAGCCGCCAAAGCTTCTTGATCTTAAGACGTCCAATCAATGGAAACTGGCAAAATGATTCGATCTTCGCATCTACCGAGCAGGGTTACTCTCTAATTAAGGCTAAACCCCCGCAAGCAAGTTGATTGTGCACTAGCCTTCTGCAGACCGCAATGCCGGATCGACGGGCCGAACACTGGGCTTCAATTATGATGTCCATGTTTGTGCTCTAAGACAATGTGAACACTGACCTGGCGATATAAATCTCTACCCAGTTCCTATGTGATCCTTTTGCAAAGCAGCATCTCATTGCTTGAATCCAACCATGAAGGTACAGACAATACTTGCATGCCTAGGGCTCGTGACTTCGGCTTCAGCTTATCTGGCCACAACTACTGTATGTTTTGATTCACGCTAGCATCCACAACGGGACTAATCAGACCGGTAGCGATACTATGACGGGCAGGAAGGAGCCTGTGGCTGTGGAACATTATCTGGTCTATACTCTTGGCAGGTAAGGGCTAACACAGCTGTTTGAGGCATTGCGTTGACGTTGGCATTCGTAGCTCGGCATTAGTAACGGTGTCTATACAGCCGCCGGCTCTCAAGCCCTCTTTGATACCGCTGGAGCCTCATGGTGCGGTGCAGGATGCGGCAAGTGCTACAACTTGACATCAACCGGCAACCCTCCCTGCAGCGGCTGTGGCACTGGGGGGGTCGCTGGGGAGAGTATCATCGTCATGGTCACCAACCTCTGCCCCTATAATGGCAATCAGCAGTGGTGTCCTCAGGTTGGCGCCACGAACAACTATGGATACAGCTACCACTTCGATATCATGGCCCAGAGCGAAGTTTTCGGCGACAATGTGGTAGTCAACTTTGAGCCGGTTGCTTGTCCCGGTCAGGCTACCTCCGATTGGGAGACCTGTGTCTGCTACGGCAAGACAGAGACCGATGACACTCCAGTGGGACTGACGACAGGCGGCAGCAACCCTGCTCCTTCAACGTCGACAACAGCTTCGTCAAAGGGCAGTAGTACAACCTTGACCACCACGACCACCGCTGGTGGAGCGACTCAGACGCTCTATGGACAGTGTGGTGGCAGCGGCTGGACTGGTCCTACTGCCTGCGCTTCGGGCGCCACGTGTAAGGTGTTGAATCCTTACTACTCCCAGTGTCTCTCATAGGAAGCATGGTGGAGGAATGATTGCAGATGTTGGAATATACTGCCCTTCATATTGGCTTTGGGCTTTGCTGTGTGGTGGTGGCATGAAACCCTGTTTTTCTTCCATCGAGTCTTAATGGAGCTTAGTCTATTATATCACAATCGCAGACTGTCCATGTGGCCGTTAATTTTACGGGTTGGCCTCGGCCGAAATTGGATTGTAAGCCAGAATTGACACGGACTAGATGGACATTGCGCTTGCTCTTGCACTGGCAAGATGTAGTAGCAATGGAACAGTGATATGCATGAGCATTAATAGCCACATATCACCTTCTAGCCACCTTGGCGATGGATCAACGTACAACAGGGGAGTGCTACTGCATGATGCATAATAACCGAGACTTGAGGAAGCCGATCGTCAAGCCATTCCAGCACGTGTGGATGACGACCAATCATAGTATAACAGCCCCCAATTCCTTTTTCACTAGGTAGATCTGCCTCATTTCAATATGGCCAACCATTTCCTGGGCCCTCGACACGGATTCAGACTAGAAGAAGTGCAGCGAGGTTACACCGCATCAGGCTTTGCTCGGCCATCTGTAAGAATCAAACTCCGGGCAGGTATAAAGGCGGACGGATCCGACCCATAACTCCTCTCTCGCTCCTGTCATTCAGCTTCATCGCAATGCATCCCAAAACCATATTGGCCTTCGGCCTCATTGGTGTCGCTGTTTCAGCAGCCAAGCCTACCGTCTACCTCATCCGTCACGGTGAGAAGCCCAGCGATGGAGGTAACGGATTGAGTACTCAGGGCCTTGAGCGCGCACAATGCCTTCGCACTGTCTTTGGTAGCTCTTCCAGCTACAATATTGGATATATGATGGCTCAAACGCCCAAGAGTGGTATGATGACTGGACTTTCTGAACAGAGCTTCGGCTAACCTATCAATCCAGATGGCAAACGCGCTCGTCCCTACGAGACAGTAGAGCCTCTCGCGGAAGACATGGGACTGACTGTGGATACCTCCTGTGATCGAGACGATCCCAAGTGTGTCAGAGACGTGGTTGAGGGATACACTGGATCTGGCAATATATTGATATGCTGGGAACACGACGCGTTGACGGATATCGTCGACAAGTTGGGCGACGATGATGCCCCAACGTATCCTGATGACCGGTCAGTCTATCTCGAATACAAGTATTAATGACGCTGTGGCTGAACAATCTCAGATTCGACTTGATTTGGACCGATCCCTATCCCTACTCCGAGATCACGGCAGAGACCAGTGAGCAATGTCCGGGCTTGGATGTTTAGGACGGTTTCGGCCTATCGTGCTCTGACTTCATACAGCTAACGGTAGCGATCAAGGCATTAAGATAGACATATACATTCCCATTCTTCATTTATATAGCCACATTAGCACAACTGAAGGTGGGTGTTGTGCTCCCCGAGTAATCAGCAATGATCGCTTCTACCGCCGAGTAGAGTCCAGGGCCTAGTAGGAACAGCCCACAGAGAAAAGCAATGGCATGGATCCCAGCCATGATCGACCCGCCCGCTCCTGCGAACAACCCACCCTTGTAAATCTGCCAGTAGGCCACGGCGAATAAGATAAATCCGAAGAACGAATCAAAGGCAGCGCCCAGGAGGGACAGGAAATCCCCCATGCTAGGGACGACCTCGGCAAAGACAAAGAAATGACCCAGATCCCAACCATAATCACTCCCCACACTCCCCACCCTACAACCGTATTCCTGTGTGCGTGGGTGGAGTCTCCCATTGCTCGAAAGTAGATGAATTTGGCACTGACGTTGGCATAAATGACTGCAATCACGAGAGTCGGCACGATAACAAAGGCAAAGGAGGCCTTTTTGTACGCGACAATGCCCAAGCTCCCGAATGCAGGAGCGGTGGCATAGTGACCCAGGTATGGAAAACGGATCGCCGGGGGCACGATGAACAGCACCGCAGACATGGCTGTCAGAACTGCTAGAGATTTGGGGAAATCCTGTGGCCGCTTCATTTCAGAGATGAAGGTCGGGAACAGAATTTGAGGAACCCAAGAAAGGTAATATTAGCACTGCATTCATGCAGGCGACCAGCTGGTACTGGGAAGAGGGAAGGCATAGGTTCGAACCGGCCGTTGTGTCGGGTAGTCACCGTTGTATCCATACAGAGGAGCATTCTCGATTCCAGCAAAGACGAGGAAGAGTAGGATGGCGAGACCCATGCAAGCAGCTATCAGACAGTCAGGACTTGGGCTGTTTCGGAGATGTGGCTCACGGGGCACTAGCCTGAGAACATGGACATAAATGAGACGTGATGCAATGTTTGAGGAGCAGACATGACCAGGCCTATTATTGTGGTAATCACTGAACAGACCACAGTGCAACGTGTATGGTCGGACAGAGTGTTGAGGATTTTCGCTCCCGTCGGGATGTGAAAACCTATGAGGATGATATTGTTTTCCAGCAGACTTACATATGTCCATGATCTGAGGGTGTTGCATGATAAACCGGTGCATGGTCATGGAGGTGACCCAGAATAAGAGGCAAGTCAACCCTCCAGGACGACTTTCAATTCTGCTACCTACGAAAGAGACCATGATTGAGCCATTATCGCTAAGTAGACCTGATCGCCTGCCAGCAACCAGGCGGCCTTTTGCCATGACATGGTTCGCAGCTTGATTTCATCTTTATGATCTATTGAACGAATTGAAGGGAGAATGGATAGAAAGCTAGCTGTAGAAACAGGGTCGAGATTGAATCCGCTTGCCTTCAGCGATGAGTGCTCAGATTCAACATCATCGAGTACCTCGGGATGCTTCTGGTAATTGACGGTTCCAGACATTTTAACTGCGCAGGATTAGAATCCCCCAGGACACATTCCATTCAACAGTGATTGGCTTTTCATTCTCTATACGAAGGAGAGAACCACGTGCATCTATAAGTTAGCAGAAGAGAGCATAATTGCTCTGATAGGGCCGCTTCTGATCGCTAGAGTAAGCAAGCTTGAGTGATACCAAGTCTTAGACCCTCTGTGCGTTGGAAGGGTCATCTTAATCTAGACCTCAGCCAGACCAAGGTTAGACGGCTCATTTGTATGTGTGATAAAAATGCGTAGTATGTAACATGCCATTACAATCTCTAAACATATATATCTTGTTGACAAAAGTACATCGCTGACAGTGTGTACTGAGAGCAACTAGAGGTTTGTTACATTAAACCATATCCAGGATATCCTTATATATAGTGTCGTGTTTCTTACACCGTCTGAGCAAAGAATCAGTAATATACCTTGCTCTCAGGATGATTCCCCTGTAGTATCTAGCTTAAGTCGAATGACGACTACTGTTATGGTAATGACTATGCCTATATATATACATGTGATTATTAATAGCAGAGCTTGATTTCAGACAGATAGACTACATGGTAAACACAGTCAGTGATGAGGACAACTCAGTACTTGACAGGATGCATCATTGTGATATGGCCTAGAGGCTCCATTGGCTATAGCCGGATCCATAAAGAGGTACTGTGATTTCACATCTGCTAAAAATAAGGTCGACTTTGCTTAGCCCAATGCTAAGGCCAGTAATCGTCCTTTACCATGGGCAGCCATGATTGTATTGGGCAGTTTGTAGTGGAGAGCCCCGCCTAGAAAGCTTGCACTATGAGCTAAGACTCGATAGTCGTACCACCATTTGGTGGTCCTCCATAGTCTAGACAGTATGAGACAATTATACTAATGATCAGCCCCTTAGAGGGACCTTCCTTTTACCCCGCCATAACCTCGGAAAGATTGGCATATATAAACCATTATCCAGCCCTTCCCCTCTCCTCCCCCTTTTCGTTCCATATCCCTTCAACACAACTCTCTGAACCGATCTTTCCACTTCTCAGCGAATTTCATTCCCAATCCCTATAATCTTGACATCATGGGTTGGTTCGGTAGTGCTCCCATTCTATCTCTGTTGCCCCTGACAGAATGTTGTGATCCCTGTTGACTAACCTTGCATATTCTTCCAGACAACGACAGTGATCAGGCTCAGGCCTACGACCAATTCCAAAACTACGACGGAAGCGAGGAACACAAGGCCAAACTAAGCCATGAGCTGATTGCTGGCGCTGCCTCCTATGAGGCTGCCAAGGCTTATGAGGAGCACGTTGCTCGCAATGGTTCGTCATGACCTGTTGCTCCATCATGTCTCATAGCAGGAAAGACATGGATCAGTCTGGCATGGGTATACTGATCAGGATACAGGTCAGCCTGCTAGCCACGCCGAGGCTAAGGAGATTCTCGCTGGATTGGCCGGCGCTTTCATTGACCGTGAATTCGAGTCCAAGGGTCTTGACTTCCTTGACCGAGAGGAGGCCAAGAGACATGCTGAGCGTCAGCTGGCCGATGTCTCCTCTCAGGATTACTAGTTGTGTCTGCTATGGAATCAGGATAGCATCAATCGGATACGACTAAGTTAAAGATAGTCTGTATTCATTACGTGTAAGATAAACGAAATGATGTGATGCGTCGGGTATCAGCATCATGTCATCGTCCCATCAATAGATATCAGATACCAACGGTGCAAGTTATTAGACATTAATGAGCTTCACCCGAGCACGGTCAATATGTGCCACCTCCAGCACCTTGGCTGTCTCGATCTGGACCTGAGGTTTAGGATCTGGATAGTGCTTGATTCTCCCTCCATCCTGAATGACGCCCGTCCGATCGAGGCAGTTGCGGGCTCGGACAAAAGGATCCAATTTCCAGTAATTCACCCGAAGTTGCTCCATCAACTCCAAACGGCGCGACTTGACGATCGCAACCTCTTCTGGGCAGTCGAGTCTCGTCGCCTCGATCCATTGAGATGTAAGGGAAAGGAATTCCTCGCTGATATGGTGCCGCTCAGTCAGTAGCGCATCGCGCGCTTCGTCGTCCTCCATCAAGTAGTTCTCATCCATTTCGGGCTCGGTATACTCATACTCCCAGTCCTCATCACCTCCAAGCTCGCTCACAATCTGACTGGGATGAATGAACTGTGCGAGATCTTCCACAGACTTGGTGAAGTGGATTTTCGTCACAACGTCTAGGTCAATCCAGCCTTTGATGATCTTCCATATCCCTGCGTAGGCTCAGTTAGATGAGCTATGGAGGTAAACGACAGCAACTGGGCCAGGCACACCTGTAAAGATACGGGGGGCATTGTGGATGAGCAAAACACCCAACGATTCGGGATAATATAATTCGAAACATCGAATAATAAACTTTACAGGGGCATACTCCTGGTGTATAGAACATCAGTAGGTACTTCTCAACAAAGACGGCAAACCCACCATATTTGCGAGGGAAAAGCCAGTCATGTCAAAAATGACACTCTACAGACAGCATGTCAGTAATATGGATTCAACTATGTGAGTGGTGCATACCGCTGTCTCCACAGGAGGCACAATGAGAAGCCGGACCGACTCCATGATATGTGTGATGTATCGGTTCATCACCTCCTCGGACTGATCCTCGGGTCGATGCAGCCGCACTCGTACCACGCACAAGGGTCGGCTTTGTCGATCAACCCCATGGACATAGCATTTCCCCATCCGCAACTGACTGAGAAACCCACTCGCCAGTTGTGCGTCGGCAGAAATCGATGGTGCCTGCGACTGTTGAAGTGCAAGAAGTTCTCCCCCTGGCAGGAGACGGTCATCCACATGCATTTCCTTTATTCGCCACTGCAAAGCATTCAGAATCAGAATAAAAGCCTTGCTGACATTCCACTTGCAGAAACGCAGGTATCGAAGCATCCATCTATCCGGAAATTCATGTTTGGTCGCCGTGAGTATGCCCCAGCGGACATCGTCTGGGCTCAGGTGGGTCAAGGACTTTGCGACCGATCTGATCTCAGACGCAGTCATACCGATGCTGCAAAGACTCTGGACTAGTGGGCTTGAAATTGCTGAAAAAGACGCGGTGCTGGTCCTGCGCAACAGGATGGAATCGGTCCGAGCCAGCAGCGAGTTTCGGCGCGCAAATGACGAAACTGAGGTTGACCCATTCTGTTCCGCACTGTTGGCCCGGAAGACTCGTTCGAGGTCTCTGAAAGAGGCGGCATCTTCAAGACGGAGAACCAAGGACCAGAGTTGCTGCAAGCATCTCTCCTGTTCCCTGGACAGATTTCCCAGAAACCCCCAAGGGATATTGCTTGGGTCTGGAACCATTTGAGTGTAGAACAATCACTGCTGCATGGAACGGGTATCGACCCCGCGCAGGGATACACAGAGGGTTGCGCAGTTCAGACATCAATCTTAACAGTGTCACAGTGTAGCCCATCAGATGCCAGGAGGCGGTGCAGGCTGCTTCCCCGCACATCAACATTCCCTCCTCGGCTCAGCGGCTTCGTCCATGGAATGATGCTGTCTGATTGGCCTTGGTACTGGGATTAGACCCGAGAATGGGCCAATCATAATTGCGGTCCTGACAAGGAAAGCGCTTTTCTGATTGGCTAAAGGGTCTTTCGAGCTATCTAGTATGATGTCATACAGACTGCCTATGTAGAGGCATCAAGAGGCACTCCATTGTAAAGTAGTATAGTCGTCTATACCTACAGTGCTTTCTGTAATTCATAATTCACTAAGCACAAAGATATCTTTGGTTATGTTGTTCATCATTTATCTAATAACTCATTGCTTAAATACATAATCTCCAAAGACTTTGGAGTGTTAAAAACAGTCATGCATATGTACAAGGGAGATTCACGAGGTAGGTCCTTAGCGCTCAGATCATTTGCTCTCCTTCTTAGCCTCATCAGCAAGATCCTCGGCCTGCTTCTTTCTCTCCGATAAGACACCCTGGATGTCATTGATGGTATCCTTGAGAATCTTCTCCGCCTCTTGACCCTTCTTCTCCGCGATACTCTGGAGTGACTGCAGCTGAGAGAGAATGTTCGAACCTCCTGGCAACTTCTCGGCCAGACTGTCAAGGTTGAAACCGCTGTTCTTGGCTTGGTCAACAGTCTTGTTGATGTATCCCTCCAGGTCCCCTAGGTTGCCTGAAGACGAGCTCTCCTTGATTATACCCCATAATTCCCCAAAGTTGCCCTTTTTCAGTGCATCGCTGTTTTTCTCAACAAGCTCCTTGGCCTTGGGGTTCCGCTCAAGGTATGGCTTAACCTCTTCCATGCCTCGCTGCCATGCCTCATCACCGAACTTCTGGAGCTTCTCCCTCTTCTCCTGGGCCAGCCTTTGAATCTTCTCAACGGTCTTAGAATTGACACCGCTTGAGACAATGTCCTTCACCTGCTGCCAAGTTCTGTCCACCTCCTCTTTCGCCTGAGGACCATAGGCATTGCCCATCTCCTTCAGCTGATCCAAGCTGCCACCGACCTTTTTCTTGATATCGGGATGGTTGTCAAGGATGTCGCCTGCAGAATCGCCGGCCAGTTCATATAGGCGCTTGAAGTGCTCTTGTAGAATGTCCCGTATCTTAACAGCTGTGTTCATATCAAGGCTGCCTTTCTTCGTAGCTTCGCGCAACTCTTTGTAGGCATTGCCGACAATGTCATCGAATTCCTTTCCATGCTTGCGCTTGATCTCCTCGAGGTCGTCAAACGCCCGGTCGACATAGGGCTTTGCGCCGGGGATCCATGACGCGTAACTTTTCGCAGTATCTCTCAGCCAACCAAACGCCTCGTCGGGATCAGGAGTCTTCTGAGCCACTGTCTTCTTTGCTTGGTTATAGTATTCTTGTGTTTGATTTGCGGTCTGGATCAGCTTCTTCGCCCCAGAAAAGTGATACCAGGTGTATCCGGCAGCAAAGGTCACAGCTCCACCAGCAATGCCCCCAATTAAGGCAGAGTTGGTGCCATTCGTGGCGGACTCGGTTGAGGTAGAGTAGCGAGACCGTTGATTGCGAAGAGAGGCCCTTGTTTGGCTCCAGAGCTGCTGCCTGGTGCAGCTGGTTGCGAATCGTGAACCTCGGCTCAACATGTTGTGATTAAGTGAGTATGAAGGAGGATAAAAGTGAAATGAAGAAGTCAGATTTGTCTGTGTGCTTAATTACAACACAGATAATTGAGATCTGGAGTAGACAGTAGTATTTATAATTCAGATGCAATGACGATGCCTTGTAGAGTGACATTGTTGCATGGGGCATGTTCATATCTATTGCGTCATGATGGGGGGAATGCGGTGCCCTACTTCCCTGTTTCCGGCAGCCAAGCCAAGTCACCCATGGCTGGGCAATAAGCCATTCTACAATAATGATCGACAGGAACTGGGATAAAATGATGTCTGTGTTCTTATTTTAGTTATGCCTAGTTATTACTAATTTACTACATAGTGACTTGACCAGCATTATGCTTAAAATTTAGTACCCCAAGCATGATGTCACTGGGTTGGCAGTATTTACATCTACGCTCCTCTTGGCTTCAAGATATAATTCTTGTGATTTATAGTTCTACATGCTTCCTGATCCAAGTGGCGTCATAGAACCATGTCTGCTGGGCTGCCCTGGTTCTGCTGTATCTTGATATTTATAAATTGAATGCACCTACTACCAAATAGGCAGCGCCTTATGGTATTATATGTTTTGTTTCTTTGCTCTCGATATTGTACATCATTCCGTCAAAAGATGCATCAGATGGAACATCTGTCCTTGATACGACTGATCATGTCCATGCGGGCTGCAAGTTTATCGCCCAATTTGCTCAACTCGTCGCCGGGCATCGCGCGGCGGAAATTGGCTGCGCGACTCACCCGTGCAATGTCCAAGAGTGCCAATGGAGCAAGGATCAGGTTGAAGATGGCCAGGGGCGCATTCTTGTCGTCATCCACCACCGTGTAGATATCCAACGCCACGTTACCGACTGTCCCCATCAGCGCGACAATGCGCCCAATCGTGACAAGCGAGGTCAACCCACTCACGATCTCACCGACCACGGGGACGAAAAAGAAACTGGCGCTCAGGAAGGCAAAGAGGATTGCCTTGCGCTTCTCCCTATCCATCTCCTCTGCCACCTTGACGATTGATTTCATGTTTTCCACCGCGTCTGCAACCATGAAGATGGGGAGTGAGACAGCGTCAACGAGATCGTCGGTTAACCCCAAGTAAGTGCCTTCCTTGACCCTTCGGACGGCGTCGTCCAGCTGCGGCTTCAGGTCCTGCAGGCGTCCATGGGCCTCCGTCACTACGTCTCTTGGGTCGATCACATCCTCCCGCTTAAAACCCTTGGGCACGGGGAAGTTGTAGTCCCAGTTGCTGTCTCCGCAGTGTTTCTCTGTCGGCGCACAGAAGTAGTGATGCACATTTTCCCAGGTGATATCCTCCTGCGCGACACCCGTCTCAGAGTATAGGTCGGCCCAGAACTGAGCGGCCTTGTCCTCATTCATCGTCCAGTAAACGGACTGGGAGTACCGGAGCCCCTTGGCTGGAGGCATCTCGCCTCGTTTCGAGTAGTCAGGAGGACACGCCTGGCTGACGTTCCGGTAGCGGTACTTTGGGGGTTCGCACTGGACCTCTGGGTTATTGCAATTCCCTTCTGGCACACTGTCGTACTCCTCGCAATACCGACAATATACATCCTGGTATTTCTTGTCTGGCCACATTCCCAGGCAGTAGTCACAGCAGGTGACGGTTTCGTCACAATACAGCCAAAGTACTCGTTGCCGTGATCAAGCATAAACTCCTCAACCACCTTTGTGCTGCCCTGAACCACCGCGTCGGCGTAGGTCTTGAATTTCTCGTCGTACCCGTCCGCCATCATTGCATAGTAACGGGAGAGCGAGCCGGTGAGGTTGGCTTGCAGAGCCTGCAAAACGTACTGCGCTCGGCACTCGTCAGAAAAGCCTGCAGCATCCTGCTTGATCGCCTCAAAGGTGGTGTAGGTTCCGGTGCAGTTCTCCAGTTTGGGAGCACCGGGCTCCAAGACGTCAGTGCTGTAATCGTCAACTGTGAATCTCTGCAGATCAACCGCCCAGTCAATTGTGCCGGCGAAGTTGAGTCCCTTCCAATGGCTGCGACGGGTGTTTTTGGTCGTCTCTGACATGTACGCCATTCAGTCTCTAGGCAGAGCGCACGTTATAGCCCTGTGGCTTACCGGCTTTACCAACGACAGTAAGAGTATAAGACTAATTTTGCTACCCCTCTTACTCTTTCTAAGCTGAATGTTGAAAATGTGATGTTTTCCTGCCATTTCCCTTTAATTAGTCGCATTCATGTGATGAACGCAGTAGGTACTAGGTATTATTGTTTAAATTAATTATTATTATCATTATTATTATGGCCACCTTTGACAACAGTGGCAAACACTTAATCAGGCTAAGCTATCTTTGACTTCTCTTCCACCCCCTCCCAAAGTAGGTAGTATTTTCATTTTATTGTTATTTTTCTTCTTCCTTTTGTCTAGGAAAATGCTCAAACTTCAACTTCTATCTACTTCGAGAACATACAAATCCACATTATCCAGCTGCTCCGGCATCTGGTTACTTCATGATAGGAGCCCCATTAGCCATACAATAATGCCTCAACCCACTAGTGTTCCGATAGAGATCATTCTTGAGATCCTAGAACGCCTTCAACCCTCGGATCAACTGCTGGTCCTGCAGGCGTTTCCTGGCTTGGCAGAAATCTCGTATATCAGCGTCTAGCTTGACCTCATTGAATTCTTTCAGCCGTAAAAATTCGCCATCGATAATAGCCATGGACTCAGGTGAAATTCTTATTTTGATTGTGCCTGAATCAGACCTTTGCTGCTCGTATCCTTCCTCATGCATCCAATCCATGTTCATCATGGACTCCACACACTCTTTCAAGTCCCAGCCGTAGAGTCGCTCATTTAAGCTGCCCACTAGTTTTCTGGCTGTCCAATCTTGTGTCAGCATTAGCTGCATACTGACAAATGTCACTCACTTATATATGGGAAGCTATTGATTGCCCGAGACAGAGCGTATCTTATACACTCTGTCAAAGGCTGCGTTTTGAGAAATAAGTAAGTAGCAAGGCCGGCACCCACGATAATGATCTTCATCTCGATCAGGATGAAAGTGGTGCTGATAGACGTGCCTGAGTATTCCGAGGAAACTGGGCTATAAGCATCATAACCTCTGAACATGCCACGCTTCTGGACCTGGCTGCATAAACCGTGGCTTCTTCTAACAACTACTATTTTCCCTGGTGATTGAGCCAGAATTTAAGAAACATAGGGCGGCTAATATATATGTAGTTATTTCTTGCCCATTAAAATAATAAATGAGCTGACAGAAGCAGGGTGGGAAGATCATTAGCTCTGTGCACTGTGCGATGTCCTGTGCCTTCTTGAAAACTCATGATGCTGCCGCCCACAGTCTGGTCAATGTATGCCAGGGGTCAGCAGAGGTACCCCAGTCCACAGAAAGATACTCTATATCACAGTCATTATACTGATTTCGTTGTTATCTTGCAGAATAAATAAATTTCCCGCAACATCCTAGCACTAGCCCTGTTGACATTACTATTCAAAAAAGCCAGCAATGATGAGGAACGAAGACGTCTGGACATAGGTGCTAGGTGAAGGGCACCTTAGGATAATGAAAGCGGAAGAAACTTCATCCGGACCCCCTGCACCATGTACCCTCTGGCAAAACATACCCTTTCGGGCAAGACTCGAGGCATCCAACAAAAAAGTAAAAGCCGCCGAGTTCGAATCCGTCCTCCCGACTCTCATAACAGCCTGGGAGGAGCTTCGAACAAATAGGACAACGTGGAAGCAACATAGGACTCCTCAGATCCTTACATTCATTCTCCTCGCTAGCCTGAATCATATCAATGACGTACTTATGAAAGCGTTCGGTGAAACAAGTGAAGCAGCAACTATGGCCACATCCTAACACTAACTCAACGGTATCAATGCCGCAAAGAATGCAGAGGTACGTCTTGATAACTGGATTTTCTGCAGTATGTTAGCACCTAGTGTCTAAGGGATGAGGCTGTCTATTACCATGCTCTTGGGGGCCTGCACTGCAACGGTGCGATCTGTCCAGAACAACATCATTGGTTGTGATGCCAGTCTCCGTCGTACTTGCTATTAAGCTATTAATACTTTCACTGTGGCTTCGGAAAACTGTTTGTACCCCCGCTCGTCTTGGAGTAGTCTCCTTCAGAGGGCTGCTTCTCTGTCTCACGATCATCGGGATAACAGCCATGAGGGTCATACACCTCTGCTGGCAGTTCTGGCCATAGGTAAATAACGGCTTCGCTGAAGATATTGATGGTGGAAGACATGGTCAAAGATGAGATCCGCTGGAGTTAATTCATGGAAAGAAGCAAACAAGCTGTCTGAGACAAGGAGAGAAGGATAATCACCAGCGATGTCTCTGCTTATATAGGGGAGTAGGAGGTCTCCAAGTCAGACGGGCACATGCGGCAATGGCTCCATTTAGTACGTGCTGCTAATGTTTGGACCAATGCGTTCTACCGGACGGTGATGGCCAGTGGTTGACCTTGTCCACATTCCATTTGAAGCAAAGCTGCCTTGGGAATAGTCACAGCCACTGCAGGTTGTACAGCGGTCCTACCTCATCACCGGCTTCACCGAGAGCCAACCATTCAAAGTCATATGAGAGGATTGAATATGCCTTCAGTACAGCCTGACCGGGCTGCAAAATGAAGCAGTGAGAGTTAACCAACGCTCTTATTTACCAAGCAAGTTAGAGATTGCCCAGTGTCAAGGAGGCCAAACTGGATCTGCCAGAGATGACCACTGTTCCGCTTCAATGCCACTAAATGGGTAATCCTCTCAAACTTGGGAGATTGGTAAGTGATACGCTAGAGCATGTTGAGTTATTTATCTATCTACAGAGAGGGTCAACGAGAAAATCCGGCTTACAAACAGAGACCTAATAGATTCAATAGTACTCCCGCTGTATCCATAACAATCTAGTGAACTCCCATAGCTTATCGTTTATGGATTTCTGCCTCCTGTCCGAGTTTGTGCGGAAGAGAGTCTTAACAAACCCCTCGAAAACATCCAGCTCATCAAAATCATTAATGCGGACCGGTTCGATCCTTCCATGTCGCTCGATAGTGTACTCCCTTTCCCTAGGACACGCATAAACAGGGTGTCTGCTGCCTTTTCCAAGTGGATCTTCATGCCAGTAACCGAACAATACGCCTCGTTCACAAAATAACGGAGTCCGGGATCGTCTGGGAGGGTGATTCTCGGTATCGTTCTTGCAAGACTGAGTGGCGCTCGGAGAACCACTTGACGGTTCGATTGACGGAATAGGAGCATCAGGATCGTGTGGCAGACTGATGATGGCTGGTAGCTTCCCTCGCTTTCTTCTTGGATTCGGCTTTTTCTTTTGACGTCTGGGGTCTAGTACGTCGGTTAGCATTGCTGACTTAGAGAACTGAGTCAACATACCCTCAACATACCCCTAGTGTTTTTCTGCGGCTTCATTTTCAGCTATGCCTTATGGTGAGGTGCCCTCAGGAGAGGGACAGCCTCTACCTTTATGCATCCACAGCCCGACTATCCGCTGTGGCTATCTTCCAACTTCGCTGCACTCTCTGGTTACTGTCAGCAACGCCACGGCTACGAATCAGCCTTGATTTCAAGCTGAACCAGTCCTTCTCTTGCCCAGAAGTCGCAGGTTGCATCACATTCACTGATGGTTGGAATGTCTTCTGATCATTGGCTGGTGTGGCGATGGTTGGAGGTCACCGGGAGCAAGGCATGCTCTCGTTAATGTGCCATGAGTGATGAAAGCCGGCTTTGTCCAGCTAAATCGTCGAATCACGGACGCCTTGCCCTTGGATATTCGGAACCTGGTCGTCTCTAACAAGACAAACAGCAGCGGTATCCTACCACCGCGGCCACCGAGGACCAACCGTTTGAGTTGTCTATGAAGCTGAAGTATGATTCAGCCGGGGTATCTGCCTTGGATATGGGCCGTCTGACGTGCCAGGACCTCTAGAAGCATCGAGGGCCAACCAATAACTTCTCTTGGTCATGCATGCACTTGTTGTTCTGTCGCAGCCACCTGTATGTGCACAAATTTAGAACTCTCGAGAGTCCAGATGGCAATCTACCTAGCGCTGAAGTTGCGTCACATTCAACCGTTCTTCGCGTCTTACTATCGTTGTCAGGTGGACGTTCTCGAATCGGTGACGGTAAGGCGCTTGGATCATGTCAGGCATGAAGAAGACATAAAAGGGCATCTTGCTCCCTACCTGCCGGACAGTTGTATTGTTTCTGCGGGCTACTGTTTTCTAACGTTGCCAAAGATTTGCTATTATACCATGATGAGACAGCCCATGTCGTATCGAGGTATTACTTTTGGTTATCAAAGAGAACTGCGCTGCCGCTAACATCTGCTTCCAGTTGCCGGACTTGAAGGCTCAGAGGATAACCCAATTCTTATTGATTTCGAAGATGTCTCCTTGTCTGAAGAGGAGACCGAGATTTGCACTTCTCAACAAAGCTTTGACGGCTCTCCTGAGAACCCCATCTGTATCTTAGATGAGGTTACTGTCTGTGAGATCCCAGAAAGTCAAACGGAGGACAATGCTGCAGTACGATGTCCACATAGCTCACTTCTTGACCCTGTTGGCACTCCTAAGGAGAACATGGAAGATCCCCAGTCAGAAGGCGAGTGTGGCGTTAGCATGCAGTGTTCTCTCGTCCAAATGCAGGGCACAATCACGACTACATTTGACACTTCTGAGCTCCCTGTCTATTATTTCGACGAGAGTAGACTCTGCGAGAGTCCTGAGAGAGACTGGCAGGGCCCAACTCCCGTAGGGTCTCCACACATCTCGACTGTGAATTCTATTAGCATTCCTGAGGGAAGTGTGGAGCTTGAGCCACAAAGGCACCACGGCATTGTCATGGACAGTGCTCTGGCTCAAACGGAGAGCGCTGCAGGGGCCGCATCTGGCTCTTCTGAGCTCCTCATTCAAGAGCCAGAAGTTCCTGCTCTAGTTGATGGTATGTACAGCGCTTTCCTGACTTGCAGCCGTTTACTGATATGTCAAAGTGGAGGTGCAAACAGAAACCCCTCTGCGGGAAGAGAGAAGATACATGCATGGTATGCGTTGTAATTAAGGATCCGAGACCTATGGCTGATTGTTCATAGCAAGCACACAAACTACTCCTCACGGCATGGCGGCGCAGAGTGAAAATGGCACACTGAAAGGATCGAAAGCTGACAATAACCCCCGAAAGAGGAAGCATGAGAGCGCTAGTCCGGAATCTGTTCCGGTAAGGAGGTCCTTAAGAGTAAGGGTAAATAGACAGGCATGATGTGGACAGCTCGCGAATCATTAGTTAAGCATGGTATTTTTCAGTCTTTCCGTTGCTAAGCTTTGTTTCCTGCGCGGTTACCTTTGGATATTGTGTAATATTTTGGATAAGGGTTTGGATACGGCGCTGTCGGAGGAGCAGTCCAAGCCTGGTGGACATACCTCCAGCGCTACCTCCCCGAGATCACAAAGCACTCAATCGCCATCTATGATGACCTTACCCCCGTGGAGCGCAGTGTTCTGGCACATATGCGCACTGGGAAGATTGGGTTGAATCACTATCTCTTAACTATCAACCGGGCCGGCGACCCTCTCTGCCTGTTTTGAAGGGCCCTAGATACGACCCACCACGTGCTATTCAGCTGCACCCAGTACGACGACCTTTGGCAGATGACTGTGGACCAACACGGAAGGGACCTCTATGGACCTAATGAGGCCTTAATAGAGAAGTAGTACGCCCTTCAGGCTGTGCGGTTCATGCTGAACACTGGCTGGTTGATGTATCTGGTGGAAGCCACCCAGTCGGCATAGCTTGAGCCGAATGCCCCCAGTAGCATGCGGCCATTGACAGCCCTAGTAGGCGATGGCTGACAGACCATTATCACATACTATTGCACCCTACTAGTCACTCCCAACAGGGTGGTGCTACTGCCTGCCCTGACCCGCGCATCTCCGCCGCATCGGGATACCGGACTAGGACCTGGAGACCAGCACCGTTCAGTGGTGGCCCCACTGAAACCCTTGCAGACTTGGGAATCTGCGACATAATGAGGGTTCAAGAATTATATCTTCAGAGTATACTTCAGAAACTAAAATCGAAAGACTCTGTATGCTGGAACCCCGAACCTGCCTCCAACGTTACCTGGGTTTGAATCGCGAGCACACCGTACTGGTGGCGGAGATCACCGGGTTATTACTGGCCCTGCGGCTCCTCCAGCGAGATCTGGTCCTAAGTGACATGTGCCGGGCACCACCGCCTAACCATGCATGGTTCTCGGAGGCGGGCCGAGATGTATTCTGATTGGGCTGATGCAGACTGTATAGATGTGTCGAAGCTGCAGAAGCCGCAGGCCCCATTTGGAGCCGTCCAACGCGCCGCCGTAAAGACTAAAATGGTTTAGTGTGATGAGCACGAGCTTCAAATGTTGATTGGCGCTAGGACCGGGCCGACCCAATTTTTTGATCTGACCATCGTTCACCCCTTGAAACAGGCACACAATCTTGTGGTTCAAGAATATTTGAGATCTCTGGGGATTAGACCCGGGAAAGTCCAAAGTATTAGGAGCTGCACGTGACAACAACGAAGTGGAGAAGCGATTATCATCTGGCCACTCTTTCGCCTGCCTGCGAGTAGAGCCTTCTCACCCAGGAAGGCCATACTCTATTGAATCTTCAGAACAGGCTCTCAATCCAGGCGCCCTGCCTAGGATAAGGGACAGCTCCCCCTCCGCGCGCTGCCTGACACCCGCCCGGCAACCAC